CTTAAAGACTGTGGTATCGAGAAAGTCTATGCTTTTGTCACTCACGTTTGCGGTTAGTTTGATACAAGGATGGTGGTTGTTGAGAATTTCAAAGAATTCCCAAAACTGTTCGATAGAATAAGTCCAAACCATAAAAATGTCATCCAAAAAGCGTCCGTAAAAAAGTGGGTCAAATGGACAGAGGGGCAACACCTCACGTTCCCACTCTGCCATGAAAAGGTTTGCGTACGAAGGGGCGAATCGTTTGCCCATTGCTGTCCCTGAAGTTTGTAAATATGTTTTACCATTAAATGTGAAATCGTTTCGACTAAGACAAATCTCTAAAAGCTGTAGAATTGCATCGTCGGGTCTGTTTGGATCTGGGTTTCTATTAAACCTTTACGAACTGCCGTTAAACCAGTAGTGTTATCGATATTGGTATACATAGAAGAAACGTCGATAGATATTAAAATGGCATTAGAGGGAACTCGAAGATTTTTTATTTTATTGACAAAATCGGTTGTGTCTTTAAGGTAGGCGCGATGTTGGCATGCTAGAGGTAGTAAGAAATGATCAATGTATTCTGACACTGCATATGACTCACTACCACAGTCAGATATAATCGGGCGGCCTTTAGAGATTTTATTCGAGATAAACCACTCCTTGGTTGGATTCTTATGGATTTTAGGCAAAGTGTACAAATGTCTCTCGCGACAATCAGGTTTGGCAGACAGATAGTCATATTGTTTCTGTTTGAGATAACTAGTTTTGACTAAATCGGCAAGAATATTATTAATCATGTCTTAATCAATTCTTTGAAAATTGGTTTCGGTAAAATGGCATAATGTTTAGGATTATTCAGTTGATTCTCTGCGTAATCCTCCCTATTCAGAATGACACAACATGAACCTTTGTCACTCTTTTTAATAACAATGCTATCGTCTTTCTTAAGTAAGTTTAACGCTTCACGTTCCACTCGTGTGAGATTAGGCTTTTCGTGTGTTATGGAAAGGTTCACTGTTTGGCTATTCATACTCGCAAATGCTTTCAATATTTCAGGATGGATGGCGGCCTGAGGGGGTGTCCACGTGGATTTAGGAATAAACATTGTTCTAGCACCACGTGGGGGGTGGTTTCGAAAAAAATATGTGCAGCTAAGATTTCGTTGAAATCGTTCAATGGATGGTCGGAGATAATTCAAGTTAGCTATCTTTGGTGTGGGAATAAACTTAATTCCACGGTCTAAGATTGAATGCTGAAGGGGTGTGAGAAATTTGCGGCTCAAGTTAACTACAGTTTGGCCTAGCGGTGGCCTCTCAGTATTTTTATCCCCAGTAATTAGTTTAAAGACTTACTCGATGCTGAAGCTGGTGTATCCAAAACAAATAGA